TCATGCTTTACTTGGATGATCATCTCATATTACTCATAACTTGTTATTACCCATTGAACCTACTTCTTGGGATCTCCAGTCATTTAGGTCGCGTTACCATCATGAGCAACTCATTTTCCTATAGGCATTAGTCCCATCTTATATGATGTATTATAGACTTTCTCTCTAGCTAATCTTTTCGTCAAAGGATCTGCTAAATTTTCATCAGTGCGTACATGATCCACTCTTACAGCTCCTTTAGAGATACAATCTCTAACAGTGTTGCGCTTTCTTCTTATTTGACGTCTTTTACCATTATAATAACGGTTCTCAATTTTTGCAATAGCCGCGGTACTATCGCAGTGGATCAACATAACTGACATATGTTTTTCCCATAAGGGAATCTCAGTCAGCAAGCATCTTAACCAACTTGCTTCTTCACTAGCAGTCGCTAATGCTATATTCTCATGATAGTATGTTTCTTTGATTTCCAAGATACAACTCCTCTAGCTATGTTGAATACATAACCACTAGTTGCTTTGGAATCATTTGATAAGGTATTCCAATCTGCATCATTGTATCCTTCAGGTACAATAGGAAATCTCTGATAATGTAAACCGAGATTCATGGTCCTTTTAAGGTACCGTATGACTCGCTCAATAGCTTGTCAATATTCATTACTCGGTCTACTAGTAAACCCGCACAACAATCCCACGACATATGCAATGTCAGGTTTGGTACAATCAATGGAATACCTAAGACTTCCAATGATGCTCGCATGTTCTGTTTGTCTAACACTTTCACCAGTGTTCTTAAACAGCTTCACGCTTGGATCATTTGGTGTGCTCACAGGTTTACTGTCAAAGTAATTATATTTCTTTAAGATCTTTTTCACATATTGTGATTGATCCAAAGAAATTCTTTGCTCGAATTTTGTGATCTTGATACCAAGAATCACACTCACTTCTCCGAGATCTTTCATATCAAAGTTGTTGCACAACAATGATTTCATATAATTAATGGCCTAAGTGTTTGATCCAAATATGAGTAGATCGTCTATATATAGACATATGATAGTGCAAATACAATTCTCAAATTTGTAATAAATGTATTTGTCACTTTCATTCACTTTGTACACATTCGATATCATTAAGTTATCAAACTTTACATGCCATTGCCTCGGAGCTTGTTTTAGCCCACACAAAGACTTATCTAACTTACAGACCTTGTTTTCTTATCCATAGATCACAAACCCTTCCGGTTGTTTCATATAGATTTCTTCTTCTAAGTCACTGTTTAAAAAAGTTGTTTTAACATCCATTTGGTGTACTATTAAGTTATAAATAGCAGCTATTGAAATAAGTACCCTAATGGATGTAATTCTAGTGACAGGAGAAAAGGTGTCGAAGAAATCTATATTTTCTCTTTGTCTAAAACCTTTGGCAACAAGGCGAACCTTGTATTTATCAATAGTTCCATCAGGTTTTAGTTTCCTTTTCAAGATCTATTTACAACCGATTGGTTTGCAACCAGGAGGCAAGTCTACTAAGTGTCAGGTCTTGTTAGATTCTAGAGATTCTATCTCATCATTGATAGCTTCTTGCCATAACTAAACATCCAGAGATGACAAGGCTTCTTGAAGATTCATTGGATCTTCTTCTACATTATAAGCCGCATAATCAGGCCTATAGTCTTTAGCAACTCTTACTCGTTTACTTCATTGAAGTTATGTTTCTACATTGTCGTTTCTTTCTGTGCTTTTTATCACAGGAATGTGACTCGATTGTGTGCCCCCATTATTTCTCAATTTGAAAGGAAATTTGTCTTCATAGAATTCAACATCAGTTAATTCTATGATCACTTTTGCCTTTAGTTCATAAAACCTATATGCTTTACTGTTTGCTGCATACTGAATGAAAACACATTCATATGCTCTACTAGCGAGTTTAACTCGTTTCGGATCCGGAATTCTGACATAAGTCAGACAACCCCAAGTTCTCAAATAAGACAAGTTTGATTGTCTTTTTTTTAATATCTCATAAGGAGAGATCTTACATTTTGACTTGGGGACTCTATTCAGGACATAGCAAACAGTCAATAAAATTTCCCCCCACCAGTGAGGTGCAGCACCAGAATTCATCATAATTGCAACAACAAGTTCAGTAAGAGTTCTATTATTTCTTTCTGTTTTACCATTCATTACAAGATAGTATGGTGCAGTCATTTCATGTACAATTCCATGTATAAAATTCATTAATAAACTAGAATCATACAGTTTATCTATCACTGCAAATTCTTATTATATCATTTTTCAAATTCTTTACAAAAAATTTAAACATATAAACTTCATTCTTCGTAATGGCGTACAAATCTACCCCAATAGACTAACTAAACCATGTCTTATTTAAAAGAAAACCAGAAACAATATTCTCTCTAATCTTAGGAACCTGCATAACGTTCTTTAAGATTAAAGTCTTTTTGAATGTGGAATTTAGCTCCATGTCTACAATTCCAGCAACATTCATGGTCTGGCCATCTCCCAGCAACACTTTCTTATCTTTAGTATTCGTGTATGTTTAAACATAACACGATCATAGCAGACATAACAAGAGACACATGTGTCTATCCACCAACCAATATATCTATCAACCATGTTGATTTCAATGTCCATAGCAATAAATTGCCCATTAGTCAGATTGACCTGTGCATTAGGGACAACACCAAGTTCAACCTTACTTCTACATTTCTTAGTCACATGACTTGATTTTCCATAGTTAAAACAAAGAGAACCCAACGTCATTTCTTTTAGGTGATGGTTGTTGCTTAGTTGGAGCTATTGGGATCATAGAAGGATTCCTATTCTTAATTCAGTTCGCAATATTATGGTTCTGGTTCTTTAATCATTTGCCAAATAGCTTCAGAACTACACCGAATTTCTTTTTGTTGTTTGAAACAACCAAGACTTTTTCTTTTTGATATTGTCTCTAAGATTCCCTTTTTGTTTTTTTTAAACATTCAAACTATGGGGTAGTTTGTCAATAATAAAACCAATTTAAAATTGTTCATTTAAACACATACCTTTTGTGATGATCTTTTAAGAAATCTTTTGAAGTTCGTAATATTGAGCCTCCATCGACCTTACATCTTTGCATTTGATACTTGAAGTAGCGGCTAACAACATACTTCTTTGCTCCAGCTTCTACGTCATACTTCTTTTTCTGAGTCTTTCAATCTTGTTTTGCAGTATCACATCAACTGTAATTATCATACAGATCATCTGCGAGTCTATTTAAAATATGATTTTGTAGATATTTTCATTCTCTTTCTATAAGGTGATTTCTTTACTATGCTGTAAATCATTCTCTTTAATCTGTGCAGCAGATTCAACTTCAACACTATTAAGTGTTCCTCTAAATATCCAGATTTACTACCGTTAGTTTGTTCGATTGATCCAGAAGGAGCAACAGAGTGTCATCGATCAAAACGTTAGCAACTTTTTTCAACATTAAGAACTTCATCTTTTGTTGCCAATGTTTGAAGTGACTTCTCTCAAACATGAACGATTTCTCAACGGCAATATCCGCAAAAGAACCAATAATTTCTTCGGTAGCCGTGGCAGTTTGAAACGTCTTAAAATTGTTGGATTTTGGATTTTGAAATATTTGCCACCGAAGAAATTACCAGGTTGAGTCGCGGACTAGGTCGCTCTCTTTAAGACGTTTCACGACACTGCTCAAAATTATGCAAAGCAGTCAAACTACCGCGCCGCCTCCAGGATAAAACAGCCCAGTTCTATACTGTACGATTACTAATACTGTATGATTACTACTTGCATGATAGATAATCGGTCTAGAAATACACCCTCTGATGGTACAAGACCATTCAAATATGGTATCAACACCACTCGTAGTATCTGGTACAAAGACCAGTCATAATAATTTCTTAAACAAAAAGAAACTCAAATAATTCTCCAAAGAGAAATTAGTAATGGTCATTTGACCACTTATAATAATTTCTCCAACAAAGAGAAATTCAAATAATTCTCCAAAGAGAATCCAAAAGATTAAACTTGAAAATTTCTCAACTCAAATGAGGAGAAATTAACATAATTCTCTAAAGAGAATTCAAGAAAATACTCGGAAAATTCAACGAGTAGAAAGAAAGGGGAAGAAGATGGCGCTTCGACAATTCGAGAGGCGCAAAGTTATGAGAATGAGGAAGGAAAAAGTAATAGAATAGTTTTTGGTGTGATTTGGAATGAAACATATGCACTCCTTATATAGTGAAGTAGGATAGTTAATATTGCTCACATGAGAAATGTGGGACTAAATGGTTTTTTCAACCAAAAAAATATTCTAACAATGTGGGACTTGAGAAATTTTTAAATTCAACATATTGAAACATGGACATGTTCCAACAATTTTTTCAGAACAAATCGATAGAACAAACAACCAACAATCGGATTTAGTTTTCGATTTCGAATTGTTTCAATTTTGGTTTCACGGTTTTATTTGAGCTAAATTGGAAGAGCGCTTATCGCTTGAAATGAAGAAAGATGCAGAATTTTTCCGCTCATAAGGTGTTTGATGAAATGTCTCAACCAGATTCTTTCTTCTTTTTTGCTTCAGTTTTGATTTTCTTATGTTATGATGTTGCTTCAGTCTTGATCGCACATGGATTTTGAAAAGTCTATGTACTTTCCTTCATGGTGCAATGAAGGGTTTTAATTTGCTTGTTTTGATCTTGAATTCTCTTGCCAACAATAGATTTTTTGCTTTGTGAGGTGATAGTTTTGAGTTTTTGATCTTGTTAGTTTAATTGTACTTTGATTTGTATTGTAGATGTGATTCGGCGATTGAGAATCAATAGTTATCGAGATAGAGATGATGTGATTCGGGGATATTACTTTGCATCTATTTCAACCTGTTCAACGCACCGACATCTACATTTCTGAGTTCAATTTATGGACATCAGTCACTTTCTTCTGTCATCAATGGTCCTAAGAGTTACAATATGATAGCATGATGAAACGTGTTTCCGGTATGATATCGGGATCGAGCCAATTTGTATGGCATCAGATGAAGCCAAACGCCAACGTGGTATCGAGATGAACTATTATGTCTGATGTTAGTGAGACATAAAATAGTCTTTGATGCAGTATCAACATGAATTCAATTTTCGACTTTTGTGTTTTCAGCAGATGCAGGAACCAACTTTCAGAACACAACAAAGAGGTAAAACCATGGCCACTTCCACTGCAAATGCAACAGAGTCTGCTATGAAGGAAAATTACCGATGTCGAGAGTTAGAAGGGCTTATTGGATTCATCTTATGGCCATTTACTCGACAAAATCCAACAATCCACTCTTGAGGGAATAACTCATGGCGAGAAATCCCTTCAGCTTAGGAGCAAGATTAGTCACCTGACAGCTAACAGGACTCGTCTTGACCAGAAAATTACTTACGAAAAAGCCCATATGGAAAACCATAAACTCTAGTTTTCTTTGTATTATATTGTTTCTCACATCCCAACTAAGATTCGTTTTTTGCATATGTAATCCTATTGGAAATTTTAATAGCCATCTTGGCGCTTGTCCATTTTGGCTAAAGATATTTTGATGTGCTTTATTTTGCAGTAATTCAAATCTCTTGAAGCATAAGTTTATACCTTTTCAAATATTTACCGTTTACTTTCAAGATTCTTTGATCGAAGCCTAACTCTTTGATCTCATATGCATTATTGGTGAACATCTGTATCACTTGGAATGGTCCTTCCCAATTCGGTGACCACTTCCCCAAAGTTCTATCTTTCTGATCCATGGGAAGAATAACTTTCCACACATATTCTCCAACTACAAATATTTTTATTTTGGCCTTTTTATTGTAGGCCCTTGCAACCCGCTCTTTTCTTCATCCAAATCCACTATTTCGTCAAAAATCATATTCCAATATTGTCCTGACGAAAGTTCGTGTTGGCGCTGTACTCGTACGAATTTCAGGTGTATCTCAATTGACAAAACCATATTGTGTCCAAATGCCAATCGAAAAGGCGTTGACCCAATCGCCTCCTTGGGAGACGTTCGACAAGCCCATAAAACTTGATCCAATGTCTTATGTCAATTCTTTTGTTTCTTAGAGACGTGTTTATTAATTAACCCAATTATCACTTTATTGGCAACTTCGACCTGACTATTGGCTTGAGCGTAATAAGGCATGGATGTTACCAACCTGAAGCCTATTTCATATGCAAATTCTTGCATCTTACGCTCAATGAAAATCGACCCTTGATTTGTAGTGATTGTCTTAGGAATTCCAAATATATAAATGATATGAATTTGAATGAAGTCAATCATTGCTTCTTGGTCGACATTGACCAATGGTATTGCTTCTATCCATTTGGTAAAGTAGTCTATCCCCACCAGGATGAACTTTTGTTGTTTCGACGAGGCTGGTTGAATTTCTCCTATGATATCTAGCGCCCATCCTCGAAACGGTCATGTCTTAATAATTATGTGCAATTCGCTTGTAGGTACATGTTGAATACCTACATGCTTTTGGCACTCTTGACACCCTTTAGCAAATTCAATACAGTTTTTCAACATACTTGGCCAATAGACACCCTGTCGAAATAACAACCATTTCATTTTATAGCCGGCTTGGTGGGCACTACAAGCTCACTATGGACTTCGGCCATTGCCAAATATGCTTCAATATCTCCTAATCACTTGAGAAAAACCCCCTCAAGAGTCTTCTTGAACAATTCATTGCCCATGCACACGTAACTCAAAGCACTGTACTTTATTTTTCTATCAACATTTCCAACTGGATTTTCCAAATAACTCACAATGGCTTTCACCAATCCGTGTCTGACAAATTGTCAATGGAAAAAACTTTAAAATTTTCAAAATTTTCTAACTTTACCAAATCATTTGCCCCTAGTTTTTGGAATTGACAATGTTGATGATGGTGTCGAAACTACCTTTTCCCTTACCTCGACAAAACTTTTCAGCTTGTCAGTCGATACTTTGTACCCAGAAGCAATTTGTGCCAAATCATTGACCACTTGATTTTCTAATCTGGGCACATGTGTAACGCTTATAACCTTAAAATATTCCAACAATTGATTAACCACCACAAAATACAAAAACAAATATTCTTTAATGCACTTATATTCTCGAGTTATTTTCTTAATCACTAGCTCCGAATCACCTTTGATTTCGACCCTATTTGTACCTATGACCTTCAAAGGTTTAATCCCAGTGATCAAAGCCTCATACTCAACTTTTTTTGTTGGAGCATTTTCCATCTATCCTACATTTGAATTTCGTTGTCCCTCCTTTCGGAGAGATAATTAGAACTTCGACACTAGTTCCTTTCTTATGGCTTGACCCGTCGAAGTATAATTTCCAAGGGTCAGTGGCTATCAGATTTACTGATGATTCAAATATGGCATGATCGACTATAAAGTCTACCATGATTTGGCCTTTCATTTCCTTCAAAGGAATGTAAAACAATGAAAACTCAGTTAAGGCTAGTTCCCATTTTCCAATTCGACTATGCAAAATTGGTTTGGATAACATATGTTTAATGACATCACAATGAGACAAAATATAAACATCAACTGGTTTAATATATTGCTTAAGTTTAATACATGATAAATACAAACACATGCATAATTTTTCTATCATGATATACCAAGATTCTGCATCTATCAATACTCGACTAAGGTAATATATGGGCCTTTCGACTCCATTATCATCCTCCTGGGCTAACATGCTCCCTATTGTTAAATTGGATGCAGCTATGTATAATCTCATGTTCTTATTTTGACTAGGTGGAAATAAAATGAGAGGCCTTGTTAAATATTCTTTGATGGCGTCGAAGGCCTCTTGTTGTTCCTTTCCCCAATAAAAGCCACTTTCCTTCTTGATCTTCAATAATGGCGAAAAAACCTTTGTCTTGCCACTTAGATTTGAGATAAATCTTCTCAAGAAGTTGATTTTCCCAAACAAAGATTGCAACTCTTTCTTTATCGAAGGAGGCTTGAGATCTAAAATTGCCTTTGTTTTGCTTTGATTGATCTCGATGCCTTTTTTGTGTACTACAAAACCTAAAAAATCTCATGTCGGTACATAGAAAGCATATTTTAGTGGATTCGTTTTCAATCCATATTTCCTCATTCTTTCAAACGATCGTCGAAGATGGTCTAAATGACCATTCTCAAATGAAGATTTTATCACAATATTATCAATATATATATTTACATGAAATGTTCTATAAAATCATGGGCATGTGGCATTAAGTTTACAACTTCCCCACCATCGATAAACACTTTTTTTACCCGCATTCCATCTATCTTTGCCCTTATGAATAAAGGCTTAAGATGATATAGCATCCCTGGGCTTGGTTTCCCAAACACAACCTGCTGTTCTTCAACCACACCGCTATTCATCACATAGTAGCATAGAAGCTTTTCATCAGCCACTTCGTCGGAGGTAAAATCTTCTTCGTTTTCTAATACCTGTGAGACCTTGTCATATTCTGTAGGAAGAATCGACACAATTCTACAATTAATGATGAAATCTTCACCATACTCGTCATCCACCATAGCATCTTCTGGAGAAAGTTCATAACCAGGTTCTTCATATTCTTCACCTTCAGACGTAAGAGTATACTCGGGTGTAGGAGTATATCCAACACTCTGTGTTGCTACCAGCTCTTTGTCACCTAAAGGAGCTAGCCTCATATCTAACCTTTGGTTAGCAGTAATATTTTCCTTTTCAATTAATCTTGACCTTGGATAGGATCGTTTCTGAACCGGCGCTTCGCCACGCTTTCACTATGCCATAACTGCTTTAAGGAAGCGCACTTTAGACAACACTTTTGTACCAAAACGCTGCTATATGTCCCGATAAAGTTTTAAATTTTAAAACTATTTACATTAGACAAACGCTTTGCAAAAAAGCGTTGCGTAAAGTTGAGAAAAACCGCTACCTTAGGTTCCTTAAAGAAAGTGCTTTAATAAAGTGCTGCTATATGTCCCGATAAAATTTTAATTTTAAAACTATATACATTAGACAACGTTTTACAGAAAAAGCGCTGCATAAAACCCAACCAAAGAAAGCGCTTGCATAGGGCCAAAGCACTGCTAAAGCCACACTTTAGGCAATGCTTTCTAAAAGTGCTGCCTAAGGTTAATTAAAATTGAAATTTTAAAAAATAAATTCTAGAAAGCGCTGCTAAATTTAAAGCGCCGACATAGGCCCAACAATAGTAAGCGCTGCAGTAGGTCCAAAGCGCTGCTAAAGTCACACTTTAGGCACTGCTTTCTAAAAGCGTTGCCTAAGCTTAATTAAAATTGAAATAAATATTATAGTCTAGGTTTTAAGTCGTTACATTCTATTCTCTATTGTTCTTCTTCTTCCCAAAACACATATGAACTTCCATCGTTCTTGTTCCAACACCGTTTCTTCACCCATCATCGGCCACTCCGTTTCTTCACCGTTTCTTTCATCGTTTCTTCCCTCCATCTCTTCTCATTGAAAAACTCGTCGACCACTCGCCAACCGACCTCCCTTGTTCGTGACGAAACATCATCACCTCATGTCACTTTTTGGTAAGCTAGTTATATGTTAAGCTTAATTTTATGGAGTAATTTGTGTTAATTTGTGTTGAGTTTGTGATTTATTTGTGTTAATTTATGCTAAACAAATTGAGCAACATAATAGCAGTTTTCCGACAATATATCATTCCCGGTTATCAATTCAATCACCCCAGCTTACAATACCCTGTTTCGATTTCGCGAAAACTTTCTCAATAAGCTTCTATTCCTTCTGCTATTTCGATTTTGGCACTGCTCTGTTTACTTTGTGAATTTTTATTCCAAAAATATGTTATGTACCAAGAATTCTTTGTTAGTTTATGTTGTGACACTACAACATTTGTTGTCTCTGGCAACACTTTTTTAGGTAACATGTAGAAATTGTTGCCTTAAATTCATATAGGCAACGGTTTACGATTGTTGTCAAAAATATGTTTGCAACCCTTGATAATCGTTGCCTAAAATACTTTTGGGGACGTTTATGGAGCGATACTCTTTTATTTTTTTGCCAACGGTTGTTAATTGTGCCATTAACTGCTTTTGGGGATGATTTTAGAGCGTTAAAATATTATTTCTTTAGCAATGTTTGACAATTGTCCCCTAAAATATTTTTGGGGACATTTTTAGATTGTTACATTAGTTCTAATAAAAGGCTACATTTCTGAAATGTTGTATAAATTTTTTTAGAATTATCAAATTTTTGGTGGCAATCTTCCCTCCAAAACTTATACACTAAAAAACAAATATTTTTCTCTAAACATTATTAATAT